TGCCATATATGAATGTGATATGACATTATCATGCCTGTATATGGATGTGATATGACATCATCATGCCCTTATATGGGTATGATATGTCATCACACAAATCTATGTGACATAAAACTTATTAGTGTGGATAGTCCTTTTAGTATAGGTTATTTTTTAGGATAGTTTTTTTAACTTACAGTTTCTTGAGTCAATGTTAATTGTAGAAAATTCTATAGATATACATTACTGACAAATATATGTGCCCTTAATAGGGGTGTCCCAAAGGAGGGGTTCTAATGTAGTTGCAGCTTTTTGGTTATTTTTTCCATATGATATTTTTTTAGTTTGATCTATCATAAAACATGTTTAGTGAGGAAGCAAATCTATAATGTCTTGTTAAATTTTTGCCTTGAATTATTGTTGGGGATGAGAGGGCTAGAAGAGGGAGCACACGTTTACTAAGCATGTCTTAATACAATGACATTTCCGTCAAAAACATTATTTGGTTAAACAAAATAAAAATACAAACAAATTTAAAATAGAAGTCTCTTTTTCATCATTTTGTGAGTGTACATAATAAAAGAAAAGTATGAAGCTTAACACCTGATTTGCATGAGAGAATGTGTTACAACTAATGTCTCATCATCTAATGCTACACAAGTGCCAGATCATTGAGGCCTGTTGTTTGGTGCATAACAGATTCAATCCAGTCAGCTCGCCTCCTCTTGAAACTGATGTACTTACGTATGATGATGCTGTTTTTCCCCCTCCAAATCCAACAGCAAGTACACTCGCCACTTAGGGATGGAAAGATGCTTTATAAACCAATACTCTTATTAAACCTAGAGAGCGGAGTTGTTTTCATGATCCGAGTTATGATGATGATGTCGATGATGATGATGATAATACTGAAGATGATGACGACGATGAAGATGATGATGATGATGATGAAGATGATGATGATATGGTAATGTATAAACTGATGAAAAATAATAGAAAAACATTTGGGAAATGGTATTAGGAGGCCTACTATTATGTAACTGAAAGTATATAAATTCTGGCTGGTCGGAAACCAATGGAATGAATGTTCCTATACATTTATCATCATCTAATGCTAGGCAAGTGCCAGATCACAGAGGCCTGTTGGCTGGTGCATAACAGATTCAATCCAGTCAGCTCGCCTCCTCTTGAAACTGATGTACTCCATCACGTAGTAGAGCTGTGGTAACTAGAAAAAACACTGGTAATTCGCATTTTAGTAAATAAACATGATGATGTTAATAATAATAATAATAACAATAATCAACTTTAAAAATAATGATGAAATCAGACACAAGTTGATTATATTGTTTTATAATATATAGGTTTGCATTTGCAAACAAGAATAGTTTTTTTGTGATTCGTAGCTTCTTCTTACATTATAAACACGATTGTTATTAACCTTGTTTAACATCATATTCATAGCATTTAATATTGAGAATTATCCCAGAATCGGACACTTGGGCGTAATGAAATATCATCCAAATTAACATTATTTAAGTGGTATTTTCAAAAGACGCTTCATGTTTTTGTGGTCCGTACGTGCAACAAAACACAAAACTCAAATTGGCTATTTTTTACCTGTTCGTGATATTATTAATATTATTTTTTTTTAGTTTATTTTTTAGTTGTTTCACCTGATTTAACATTATTTAAGCTTAAGATTAGTTTTCAAGAGGCATTTTTTCAACCTGCAGAGTATTATTGTGATCTGTAGATCCCTATAGAACACAAAACAACTGGAAATGGCGGGGTCAAAAAATCGTTCCAAAAATATCGTGAGCTATTATACCCTTTACGTTTTTGCGAAAATTGGCCTAATTTTCGCCTGGTCGTTTTCCTATTAATTTTTGCCTTATGGTACCTATAGATCATTAAAATATCGATTACATTTGATTTAACCTTGTTCAACATCATTTTCTTAGCGTTTAAAAGTTTTAATTTTCCCAGATTCGGACTCGTGGGTCGAATTGAGTATTACCTGATTTAACATTATTTAAGCTTAAAACTAGTTTTCAAGAGGCAGTGTCAACCTGCAGAGTATTCTTGTCATCTGCAGGTCCCAATAAAACACGAAACAACCGGAAATGGCGGGGTCAGAAAATCGTCCCAAAAAAAATCGTGAGCTATACCCTTTACGTTTTTGCGAAAATTGGCCAATTTTTTGTCTAGTCGTTTTCCTATTGATTTTTGCCTAATGGTACCTATAGATCATTAAAATATCGATTACATTTGATTTAACCTTGTTCAACATCATTTTCTTAGCGTTTAAAGGTTTTAATTTTCCCAGATTCGGACTCGTGGGCCGAATTGAGTATTACCTGATTTAACATTATTTAAGCTTAAAACTAGTTTTCAAGAGGCAGTGTCAACCTGCAGAGTATTGTTGTGATCTGCAGGTCCCAATAAAACACGAAACAACCGGAAATGGCGGGGTCAGAAAATCGTCCCCAAAAAAATCGTGAGCTATACCCTTTACGTTTTGCGAAAATTGGCTAATTTTCCGCCTAGTCGTTTTCCTATTGATTTTTTCCTTATGGTACCTATAGACCATTAAAATATCGATTACATTTGATTTAACCTTGTTCAACATCATTTTCTTAGCGTTTAAAAGTTTTAATTTTCCCAGATTCGGACTCGTGGGCCGAATTGAGTATTACCTGATTTAACGTTATTTAAGCTTAAAACTAGTTTTCAAGAGGCAGTGTCAACCTGCAGAGTATTCTTGTGATCTGCAGGTCCCAATAAAACACGAAACAACCGAAAATGGCGGGGTCAGAAAATCGTCCCAAAAAAAACCGTGAGCTATACTCTTTACGTTTTTGCGAAAATTGGCCAATTTTTCGCCTAGTCGTTTTCCTATTGATTTGTGCCTTATGGTACCTATAGATCATTAAAATATCGATTACATTTGATTTAACCTTGTTCAACATCATTTTCTTAGCGTTTAAAAGTTTTAATTTTCCCAGATTCGGACTCGTGGGCCGAATTGAGTATTACCTGATTTAACGTTATTTAAGCTTAAAACTAGTTTTCAAGAGGCAGTGTCAACCTGCAGAGTATTCTTGTGATCTGCTGGTCCCAATAAAACACGAAACAACCGGAAATGGCGGGGTCAGAAAATCGTCCCAAAAAAATCGTGAGCATATACCCTTTACGTTTTTGCGAAAATTGGCTAATTTTTCGCCTAGTCGTTTTCCTATTGATTTTTCCTTATGGTACGTATAGACCATTAAAATATCGATTACATTTGATTTAACCTTGTTCAACATCATTTTCTTAGCGTTTAAAAGTTTTAATTTTCCCAGATTCGGACTCGTGGGGGGAATTGATATTACCTGATTTAACATTATTTAAGCTTAAAACTAGTTTTCAAGAGGCAGTGTCAACCTGCAGAGTATTGTTGTGATCTGCAGGTCCCAAATAGAACGCAAAACAACTGTAAATGACGGGGTAAAAAAATCGTTCCCTTTATGTTTTTGTGAAAATTGGCCATTTTTCCACCTAGTCGTTTTCCTACTGCAAGTGGTCCGGTCATTTAAATAAGAGCGGGGTCGGGGTGGGGGTTGGGGGAGATATATTTGGTTGTTACACTGCAGACCCGTTACGGATACACGATTTAAAGTTAGTGGGTTCTGAGTGCATATCCACCGAGACCCACCATGGTTGAACAACTTTTTTTGGCATCTCTGAATGCCCAGAGGTAGCAGCTGGTAACCAGTGCACCCACTACCTCTCCCTTTAAGGGGCAGCTACAACATTTTAAGTTAGCATGAAATTAGAGTCTATACTTAAATGAACCCCACCATTGTTGGAGCTGAGGTTAGCAAAATGTTAAAAATATGGCTCCTCTTTATCTATGGAAATAGCAGGTGGCAAACCTGTAGAGGATCTACGTATTATTATTATTATTATTGTATACTTATATAGCGCATATCAAACTTCTCTATGCGCTGAACATTATTACCCCGGATCACTGGATCAAGCACATATGGAACACACACTCAAGCCCCATAGGGGAATTCTTTACGATTATGGCACCTCTATACATCCCTGTCTCTTATACACATCTAGATGTGTATAAGAGGAGAGAGACAACCGTAGATAAAGTGCCTTGCCCAAGGACACAAGCGACTTGCACAGCGAGAGTTTTGAACCCCCGACCTCGAGGTTGGGAGTCCAAACCACAACCGATGCGCCAACCACTTCTACGTACCCCTCCCCCTCAAAGGACATGCCGTGTATGTGACAATAGGCATGGTCTTATCCGGAAGTATGGCTTGAACATATGCAATTACAAATGTACATGCATTACATAAGCAAGCACATGGTGGATTTAAAAAATATATAGGCTTAACATTAAAAAGACAATGTGATGCGAACATTAATAATAACTTGACATAATATACCGTAGGTATTATTAAAAGAGGTAATAGGATTGAGAAAAAAAAGAGTCGATTCTTATCCTACAATCATCAACATCATCATTCCAACACCATCATCAACATCGTCATCACTACCACCAATATCATTATCATCATTACCACCACGTGACCATCATCATCATCTCCACCACAACCATTATCATTATTATCATCAACAATAATCAACATCATCTCCACCACTGCCATCGTCATCATTGCCATCATCATATCATCATCATTATCATCATCAAAAACCATCAACATCGTCAATATATGATTACCACCACTACCATCATCATCATCGGCATCATCATCAATCATCATCATAACCACCACCATCATTATCATCTTCACCATCATCATCCTAATCATCATAAAGGAATGACGCTTTAAAAAATAACAATTGATTTTTTTGATATCTCACCAGGTGGCGTTTTAAATATAAACACTACTGTATGTAGAGTTGAAAGACTACGAAGGAGACTACAATTAGGCCTAGTAACATATGTGAGTACAGTATTGAACCTTTTTGCAGCATCGTTAATTCAATAGTTAAAAGGGAATTCAGTCATCATCATACAATGGTTATTATTTTGACTAAGTTTGTTAGGCATCGAAAGCATTGACAATTTCCTCGACAGAGGCATGCATTGACATGGCTGCATTCTATTCAACAACAACACACATTCCAAGTGACTCGCTAAAACCACTATAATTCCTGAAACTGGCTAAGGAAACGTACTTATTTACAGCTTGGGGCTTGTTAACTTCCGTTCGTTGTTTATATTGTAGATTCGTATATGTGTTTTTTAATTGGCATTATATGATATTTATTACCAAGAATCTTGTCATTATCTGGTGCACAAATTTTAATTAGAATAATCGAAATTAGTTAGGCCTACACCCCGACAAATATACTTTCCATATTATTTTTAAAGGACAACGAATGTAATCGAGGTAGGCCCAAATGACACGTCTATCAATTGATATTAATATCGTCATGGATATGTACCGGTACCTCCATGATGTCGATAGAAAATAGGCCTATAGCTACCAGTGCCGGATCCAGGAATTAATAGAGGACCCAAGGGGTAGGGATTTCACAAATGAATTTACGATTATGGCACCTCTATACATCCATGCTCTAGATGGCCGGAAATGACTTAAATTTTAATACAATTTTCTTATGTTCTCAAAATTTGTATAATTTTAAATAAATTACGGGGACCGTTTGCACACCCCCACCCCGTTGAATTCGCCACTGGCTACAGCTGTCAAATTGTATTTATTCGAAAATAGAGAGCAGTTGACCATTTTATACTATTAATATTAATAATAATAATAATAATAATAATAATAATAATAATAATGAAAATTTATAAAGCACCGGTATCCATTTAAGAGAAATCGCTCATGGTATCTCTCCAAAATAAATTCGAAATATAAAAAAAGAAAATTAAGGAAGCCAGAAAAAAAAAATTATATTACATAAACCGTATGTAAGTGAGCGTCACTCTCTCTATGTGGCCATGTATGCACGGATACTCCACATAAGATGGTATGCTGAGCCCCAATAGCATATGCTGTAAATAGCTAAAACATATATTTAGCCCGACTTACCATAACTTATAAACTAACATCGACCCCCATCGTACGACTAAAAAATGCCGATCCAAACAAATTCATTTCGATAGCCAATCCAATTGTGTCGTAAAAAAGCACATGGGGAATCCTAAGCCGTAAAATATCTTCCTATGAACCCCGCCGCCCCATGGATTTTATTCCAGAATCCTGACCGAGTCTCTCTAGGCAGCCCCTTGTTTCATACCTCGGTCAGTGTTGTTGGATCCCTGTCGGCATTTTTACATTTTTCCTGATTTACCGACATTTTACTACAGAAATCCTTAAATTGACACTACTCCCATTCAATTTTTAAAAGTTAAAGATGTCTATGTATATATAAAGAATATAGCAAAGGTATTGCTGACAGGAAAAATTTTCATACAGATATTTAATTGTAAGCTAGTAACTTACTTAAATATAAATATTCAATCATGGAATTATTTTTTTCATCTTTCAGCTCATGACAGGCAATACATCTTTAAATTTGGCCCCATTGGAAATGGACTGGACTCTGGCCTAATGGTACTGCTGACAGGAAAATATATTGTCACACAGATATTTAATTGTAAGTTAATAACTTACTTAGATATACATATTCATTTATGGAATTACTTGTTTTCCTCTTTCAGCTCATGACAGTATATCTTTAAATTTGGCTCCATTGCAAATGGGCTGGACTGGTCTAATGGGCGTTCCTGATGCTCATTAATTTTTACTTTCCTTGTTCACAATTTTTTATTTTGCTTGTGCATGTTGAACAAATTTAATCAGTCAGTCAATAAATATTATATCATGAAAAATGTTTTTGTATGAAGATAAAGTTATAGTATTATGTTTATATCAAATATGCTGTATGAATTTATATACTGTATTCATTTTTATCGAATGGTACACTTTTATACATTTTATTTACACATGATAATCGAATGCTAAAATAATTTGTTCACACAATTGCAATCTACTAGGCCTACCGGTACCCAATACTGTGTACTAGTATTTATGAATCCTCATTTATTCTGTGGTATGATGATAATATATGATAATGCTGATATGAAGAAGTGTTAAGTACTATTCTGTTGTATCATCATCATTGTCCATACATTGCTGAATACGATAATGTTTGAGTTGAGGTGCTCACTATTTTTTTTTTATTTATGTGTTTGCTATTTCGTTATAATTCTTTCTCTTTTTCTAAATATTTTTTTCAATATTTTTCTATTCCAGGGATTTAGACAAAGAATCCACAATTATCAGGAAAGATGTACGGACTCGATGGTGATGGTGAAAGGGCAACAGAACTTACCAACTATTTATATATAGCCAAAAATGTTGTTAATAATCAAGCTTCCTGCACAAATTCTGGATATGAAATTTAATAAAATATAGGCCTAGTGTGAATTTTATTTTTTAAGTATTTCCTCTGCAAAAATCTCAAAAATAATATTATAATTCTTGTATGCTTTATGTTTATTAATAGTGTAATTGTATTATTACTACTAATGTTAACCTTAATAATAGACCAAAAAATTGTATAATTGTTACAAAAAATATAGACATATGTAAGATAATAAGATATACAATTTTGTGGACTAAAATTAGGTCTATTGATTTTTGCCGAATGTACATGTAGTAGCCTATACAGTATATATTAAATAATCAAATGTATACATATATCCTAACTTGATTTCAGTGCTTGTAATAAATATCAAATGGCTTATACATTCCTTCTCATCTTTTCCAATGTCTGTGTTCACTTTATATTCTTATAGGACGCCAAAAGTGAAGAATTTCTTTTATCAATATTACCTACTTTGTCTATTAAGCTAGCAATGATAAAATCCTTTCAAAGACGCCCTCAACAAAATACATAAAACCGGAAATGACGTGGTTGCTAAGCAGCAACTTCATGCATAATCATGAATATTCAGTAACACCTGTTCTAATT